TTAGATAATATATTAGAATACATAATTCTAATATAATGCAACTAATATACCGAATAAAGAAAATTAAAATACATTTATCATTGTACGCCGTGTCTATTTCCATAGAAGAGTTCATTGACATTGAAAAAATAATACTACGTTCGTAGCAGTAGGTGGCGTCTTTTGGCGATTTCTTACGCGATACATTGTAGCGAGCGTCGACAGACCAAACGCTCAAGGTCGTTCGCTGGAGGTAGCGCCTTAACGCGTTCACGTTGACGCCACGTCAGGAATAGATGACTACATACATAAAAACAAGCTTATTCCTTTTGATAATGTTTCTGAAGTTATTGCATAACAAATGGGATTTTTTAAGTATATCAGATATAAGTAGAACAAAGAAGTGAATAGGATGGTGAATATTATTTTTATATTAATATTCCTATTCTTTACGCTGTACTTGAATAAAATCGAATAAGAATAAACTCCAAGGATCCGTGAGGTCACTGAATGAAATTAAAACATAATAGTGCCTCGCAGACTACAAAAAAGCGTTATGACCAGAAATAAGGCTTTGAAGTTAAAAATTTGATTTATAATAGTTGATAATAATTAACATTTAAATGAAAAGAATTTTTATTTAAATGTTAATTATTATCTTAACAATTCAAGTCATTTCCAGCACTAAAATGTATATAAGCAACGGAAAGTAGCGATTACTACAGAAATAAAACTATTTTAGAGTTTTGACTAATATCGGTCAAAAGTCGGGGAAGAAATTTCTTCGAATTTTGTTTGTATAAAATTGAAGGAAAACTTCTTTAGTTGTATTATTTGTATCTGGCTGGTTTTACTATCAATATATACATGATTTTAAGAAAGGGAAAAAATATAAATTAAGAAACACTTTCCCGCCATTTTTCGATGGATATATATATATATATATATATATATATATATATATTTACGGGTATTAAAAGACATATATAAAAAATTACATCTTTAATATCGCGCAACACTCTGTTTTTAATAAAGGTAGGTAGGTATACGATGTGATTCCGTTACCTAATTAAAACACAGTTTCTGTTGTTTACAAACCTGACAACTTTTGTCAGTTGGAACTCAAAAACTCCTTTGACGTACCTAATCGTATCGCTACAATAGTCTCTCGACACAAACCACATCCCTGCGATCTAACTTTATTCATCTCTGCTGACCCGCTAACATCCAGATATGGCAGACTGAGATATTCACCTCGTTAGTTGAGATTTTGAAGACAGCAAGTGCTCTTTAGGGATTTGCGTCCTAAGGACGGTTTCAACGGATTCACGACGGTTTGTGTTCTAAAAAGATATATAATGACGTGGGTGTATTATTTTTTGGGATTTCTCTTGTTTGGAAAACTAGAAATGTGTTATTTTAGTAACTTGGATTGTTTCCGTTCTTGAGTATATTTTATGAGTATTGTGGGCTGTGGTTTTGCGGTTTTAGCTCAAATTATGAATTACAATTACCGTTGCAGCCTATTAAAGTCTACTGCTGAACATAAGCCTCCCACATAGACTGCCTCATAGGCGGGATATTTGCCACAGGTGCCACGCTTGGCAAACGGGTTGGCAACCGCAGTTATTTAATTTTAGTCGTTATTAGAAAGACGTTGCTGATTTCCTGATTTGTTTCCTTATGAAGCCTGTTACGACGCCCAAGGGATTGATATGGGATAGTGGATATTCTTACCCCGCCACTACACGGTAACGTTATGAATAAATAACTTTGATTAAGTTTTCCGGGTGCTTAAATAAACTCAGCTTCTTATTTTGTTACATAGGGGTCGTAAGGAAAAACTAAGGGAAAGTCCACAAAGCCAGTATAAGGTCAGAAAGATGGCGTTTAGAATCTCAATGTTTGATATTGTTCTTTCATAAAATGAACTTTTTTATGCCTACTGAGGGGAAAAACTAGTAGTAATTCATAAGAACTGGGTACTCATTCTACACGAAGTCAATTTTCTTACCAAAGTAGGACATCTGAATACACGCCACATTCTGATATGCAATTACAGGTTATAAGGTATTTCATCTTAGTCCTAAGAGTTCACAACGCGTCTGTAGCAATTTTTGTTTGAAGTTGGCTGCAGTAGCCACTTCCTATCAAATGGACTCTAACTTCCTTTTCTCACTTCAGTTTTATAATCAAATATGTCCAGCGCAGTACCCTGAAGAAATTTTAAATTGTTGTCGATGTCCACACCATCCTCATTATTAAGCAAAAATTCTTAATACTTAGATTAAACAGTTCATATTGAATCTTTTTTTATTGGATACGGTGACAAAACGAGCACACAGTCCACCTGAGGGTAAGGGGTAAGGGGTTGCTGTGGCCCGTAGACACCTACATGTATCCTCGATTACGAATCAAAATGCAGATGCGTTGTCACCCGTGAGAACTAAGATGGAATGCCTCATTGGCTGTAAAAAGGGTCTCCGGTTCTCTACACTCACCATACGAAACACAGCAGCATTAAGCTACTATTTTACGCTCGTATTCTGTAAGAGCGTGGTCCTTCCCCGGTCGAGTTGTCCCACTCGTGCTACAACTATGCTAATAATATAACTGCAGCACGGCTCTAAAACGCATATCTGTACATATTAATAAAATTGAAGTGACTGTCTGTAATATTAGAATAACTGATTTCTATTAAGGCCAGGGAGTTGTTTACATTCTTTTAAAAAACATAAGCATTTAAAAAAATATGTCTGTTCGGGCTAATCTTCCGAATGGTTAAATTCGTAAGATCATCGCTAGAAGGCATCAACGCAGTTTTTTATCCGAATAACTGTTTTTGTTCTTTTAAAAGGAAAGGAAGAAAAAATCTTGATAAATAAACATTAATAGATCACGTCCAGGCAAGGCGGGTGGCTAATTAATGAAATATTAAAAGAGAAGAGGTGTGTAATAATTATTTATCTCTATCCGTTGAACAGTACAAACAGCTGGCATGGCACGCGCCGGTCGCAGATGTCGATTAATTCACGGTGTTGCAGGTTTCATAATCAGTTTATCTAGAAAAAATTTGTTTATAGACAAAACTAGATAACTAACAATTTTAATTTATGATTGGTTGACGAATTTTAAGATATTGCCAGTCGCAAATCGTCAATTTCATCTCCCGAATTCAGTGCTTGTTCATTTCATTTTATCTCATCTCACATTGTTTTCTTGTTTGAAATCACTAGTGTAAAGCCGAGTCGGGTATCTAGTATTAATATAAAGAAGTATAGCTAGAGCAATAATTTGCTCAAGACCTTTTTCTGTATAAAACAACTATCGATAAACTCTTTTAACAGTACCGCTGTCCACACTAAACAGTGTGAACAGCGGTACTGTTAAAAGAGTAATATGTTCTTGGAAACGAAATTAGATGAAATGAAAATAACTATTATTCGACGCGAGGAAATTACTATTTCGTTAGTTAAACGTTAACATGTTTTTTAATCTACTACCTACCGTTTTGAAGGGGGTCCTCTATCAGGAGAAGAAACAGTAATAGATATTCTTTTTGTCATTTTTTGAAGGACAATTATATGTTGTTATCATCAAAATTGAAAGGGAATCAGGAAGATAGACAGAATGAATATATAGAAATAATAAAAATATGCAAAAATAAATGTTATTAAAAAACTTATCCTTAAGTTTACGTTTTGAATTTCAATAAATGAACTTATTGTCTGGAATAGAAAAAAAGTAAATTAGGTGCTTAAAGGAGTCTTGAAATAGCCTAGAATCATAAAATTAGCTCCAGTCCAGCTTAGTTCAGTGCAGAAAGAACATATTGAAAAAACTTTGTGGTCTGATACATTATAAATGTTTCAAGTTGAATCTTCATAATAATGTTGCAACGTGGCGGAAGTTTTCCTGCTCCACAACTCTTCACAAGTAATTCTAAGTAGCATTTAGTAGTCTGAAAATTGGCGTTGTTAGACGCTTGTGTCTCATGAAACACGTAAAGCCGTCGGTCCTGCGCCTGGTTTCTCTCTGGTCATGACGGATTTGTATCGGTCTCTGAGATTAAGGGAAAGAGTGAGCACCTGTGCTTGCGCAACTTCAAAATTAAACAATTAAAGAACAAACAATAGGTACAACTTCCCACATTCTTATTATTCGCCATCATCCGCTCGCCCAGATGACAAAAGATCGTACTTCACTGCCCCATATACTGCTCGTGGAAGTCTCTTACTATACAGTCAATCTTGTACAGCTCGAGAACCCTCTTTAGCCATGTATGGGACACCGAGTGAATGCCTTTCTGTAGTCTATCCAGGCAGCGGAGAAGTTCCGACGGTTGCGTTTCACCACTTTGCCAATGACCGCTTCAATGTGAAGTGGTTCCTTGGTTCCACGACCACCGCCCCGACATCCATTTTGAGCGCTCGATATCAACTGATTTGAGTCCAGGTGATGAGTGATTCTCGCGCTCAAAATTGATGTTAGTGTCTTGTATATGGTTGGTAGACACGTGACGGGGCGGTATTTGCTCGAGTCTGTGGTACCCTGGTGTATAGGAACCAAATTAGTGATGCCAGTAGTTAAGAGGCTCGGCAGCTTACTTCCGGTTGAGAGCCTCGTGAAAGCCGCTCCAGAATGCTACAGTGTCAGCCTGATTAGGTGCTGGGCCGTTCCACTTACCATTGGTCGCTCCAATAATTCATATAGCCTCTTCTGATCACTCTGGAAGAGTGATCAGAAGAGGTGGCTGGTTGAACCGTGTCGACCTCTCGGTATATCGCCGAATCCGCTTTCCCCAAGCAGCATTACTCTGCTTCAGATCGTTTATGCGCTGCGTCAGTTTTTGCGTTATATCCGGCTGGGACAAACTGACATTTCTCCCAGCAAACGCCATCCTGACGGTACGCACAATTCTTGGCCTGTTATTGCCTAATCTGAAGCATATCAGTCTGCCAATGAGAGCTCTAGCCTTTGCGATACGTTCCTCTATTCTTCTTCTCCATGCTGGGATAGCGTTACTTTAGCCAGTAGCGCGTCCAGCCGTGGAAACCTTGGCGCATATAATATGGCAGACTGCCAGCGCGGCGCCAAAAAGAATTGAGTCCGTCTTGCAAGGGTCCCGGCTGGCTTCCAAATAGGCCACCAGCATTGGGTTCAGAGCCCTCACGACAGCCAGATTCTGCTTGCTTAGGGCTATGCGGGGAAATCGTGGTCGATTTTTTGAGAGGCGTACTCCGCGTTTCCCCAATCGCCTTTTCCAATGTACTCCTCATTTGCTCCATTTCTAGTTCTTGGGTGAATGTCCCATCATCATTTGAATCAGCAACCACTGCGGTATTCACGGCGGCATCCACGTATGCGGGTTGTTCTGCAACTTGTGGCACCGCATCCTCAGTCGTAGCATTTTCATTTGACAAGGGAATAGCCTCACGTCGTAGCCGTTCGAGTTCGGCGCTATCGAATATATTTGACCGTACGATATACCGAACTCGGTCTGCCACGTTTTGCTCGGTGACGGTAATAGATGGCTCCAGCTCAGTAAAAAGACGATGCATCCTAGCTTGATACGCGTCATGCGCGAGTAACATCCAACTTCTTCCCCTTTCGCCCTAAAATACGCCTGCAATGCCTTTGTATTCATATTGATAGTCCATCGTATGCGGTGTACTTAACCAGTGGCGGGTGCCAATTTCTGGACCTGCGAAGACCCTGCCGAAACCAAGCAAGCTGGTGGGTATGCGAGGGGTTGCTGGGTGGTCGTGCAGTACACCGCGTTCATCTGGCAGTTCGCATGTTGTCGCGTCCAGCGCCAGCTCCAGACGCGCCATGGCAAAATCTAGGCAGCGGACCTTTGCGCATTTTTCTGTGTTACATTATCCATAGTGGGCGTCATTTAACGAGAGACGCCCAGACCCGGCGCCGTTTCATGTTGAGGCCATATGCACAAGCGGGCCTTTGCACCTTCAATTTTTGCCGAGGCACGGCGCTCACACCTCTTGGCAAGGTGCTGACTGACTGCGCTGATATAGCAGTTTTGCCACATAACCGTCACGTCAGCGGGCGATGGGGTCCCTACGGTTTTATTATTGTTGCGCGCCTAAGTTGACGTCATGTAGTGTCAGGGACGAGAGCGGGGGGAGCTTTCCAGAAAATGACATCACTAATCTTTCAACCGACAGCGCCATCTGGTGTCGAAACGAAGAACTAAGCTTCTAGAAGCCGACACTCGAACTTTCAGCGCCTTGTCGATTGATGCGCGTATTTACTTGAATGTTCTGCATGTTTCGGTGCTAATGTGTATTTATAGGCGCTGCAAGGTGCGATCGGGGCAGTATTGAATTTGGCGACACAAGCGAAGCTTTGGAGCGAAATAAAGTGAATCAGTGTGATTAATTATTAGTGTCTTCTAAGTTTTAATTTTGGTAATTCTATCGGCAATTTTTACTGTCACGAACCTCAAGCTCGTAACAATTGGTGTCAGAAGTGGGATAAAGTCATGCCGATTTTACATAAGAAGGAAACGGAGGGTGTCCGTACCCGAAGTCAATGCCAGCAGGAGATGGACCAAAGAGATTTGGTGGTGATGCTGCAGGACCAGGCTCGCCGACAGGAGGAACAGGTCCGTCAATTGAAAGAGCGGCTGCAGAGCGGACAAGAGGAACAGGTCCGTCGTTTGGAAGAGCAGCTGCGGGGTGGACAAGAGGAACAGGCCCGTCGGTTGGAAGAGCAGGTGCTCCTCATGAAGGATTTTCACGCTACCTTCGGGAAGGAGATCAAGAAGGTGAAGGATAAGGTTGCTCAGCATGACAACCGCCTGTCAGAAGCTGAAACCCAAATCGCGAAAGCTGAAACCCGAATCGAGGAAGCTGAAACCCGAATCAACCAAGTGAACAATCGGGTTGACAAGGTGATGGCTGACGTGAAAAAAACGCTGGACGACCTCAAACTGGGAGATGGAATTACAGTTCCCGTAGTAGCTACAACACCTTCGCTACGTGGGTTCAAAGTGCCACCGTTCGACGGGACTTTTTCCTGGTCAGATTACAAAATCAGGTTTGAAGCCTTTATGAAGGTGAACGGCTGGAATAAAAGTCAGGCCATGACTGCTCTCACACTAGGCCTTAACTGTTCTGGAAGCTCTCGGTGAGGAAGTGACTTATGAGCAGCTCCTTGAGGCATTGGAATCTGGAACACGTCTTAAAGATCGCGTGCAGCGCATCAATGAAAACCTGCAGCAGTGGGCTCTAGAGGTGGAGAAGCTGGTGCGAAAAGCATACCGGTCTGTACCTGCCTCATTGAAGGGAACCTGGTGCAGACATTCGTCGACGGCATCCGCGACCTTGAAGTCAGAGCTGCTGTGAGTGCCCATGCACTGGAGGTGGAAGCCGTGCGACAGGATCATCGTTCCCATCGCGTCAGGGAGGTTGCAGCAGCTACAGTTCGCGACCGCAACAAAGGATACAGCCCTAGGTGCTATGGCTGTGGGGAAAGGGGCCATCTTCGATCCAGCTGCCCTAAGCGAACCCTGGAAAGAGAAGGTTAACGATCTCTCAGGCGGGTAGTGCGGCCAACAGCACCGCCCAGCAGCAGGGAAACGAGTAAAAGCCAGAACTGCGGGGCGGGTGCTGGTTAAAAGAGCCCCAAGGATCTCGATCTCACCAACCCATGATGGGAACAGTCTAGTCATCAAGAGCGAGGTCAGCGGAATGCCGTGTTAACTGACCATAGACACTGGAGCCTCTCGTACGGTTGTTAGTTCCCAACTTATAAGTCAGTTCCTTGGGGACTCCGGACAACCGAGAACGCATTAATTTGGTAACAGCCACCGGTCAGCGTATACCCGTCCGTGAAGAGAAGGAGATGGAGTTGAAGCTAGGCAACGTGATCTACCTGCATAATGTCATCGTGGCTGATACAATTGACGACTGCATCCTGGGACTAGACTTTATGAGGGATAATTGTTGTGAGATCGACGCTAAGCAAGGTGTTTTGAAATGTGGACAGGAGGAACTTTTTATGGAAGGTGCGTTACCAGGGAACGTGTACAGCATTAAGAAGATTGTTCTTCCGCCGAGATTGGAAACGATTGTGCCGGTTAGTCTTCTTGGAAACGCTGGGTAAGCTCACCGTTGTGTAATTGTGGAAAGGGTAAACAATGATCTTCCATGGAAAGTAGCTCGAACCTTGGTCAGAACCACTGACATCTCAGGAGTACGTGTGATGAACCTTTGTGACCGGGAACAGATTATAGAAAAAGGCACGCTGGTTGGTACTTGTGAAGAAGTGTATTGGTTACGTCGGTGCCAATATCTATCGAGTGAGACCCCTAGCAAGGATGCACAAACGAGAGTGACCCCACTTTTGGAAGACTGTCGCAGCGTTCTCCCCACGAACGAAATGGTCAAGGCAAAGAAGTTGTTACTCAAGTACGCCGATGTATTCTCATCAAATGATGCTGACATAGGAAAGACTAGCTTAGTAACACAAAATAAACACAGGAGAAGAATTGCCTATCCGTCAGCGGCCAAGAAGATTGCCGGGACCACGTGAAAAGGAAGTGGAAACCAGGATTGAGGGAATGGTGAAGGATGGTGTTATTGAACCTTCCTCTAGTCCATGGTGTTCACCTGTGGTGCTGGTAAAGAAGAAGGATGGCAGCATGCGGTTTTGTGTTGACTACCGCCGTCTGGACGACGTTACGAAGAAGGACAGCTATCCCTTGCCAAGAATTGATGATACGCTGGACATGCTTACAGGAGTAAAGTGGTTTAGCACGCTGTATCTAAAAAGTGGCTACTGGCAAGATGAAATTGACCCTAAGGACAAAGAGAAAACTGCGTTCTCGACGGGAAAAGGTCTGTGGCAATTTAAAGTAATGCCGTTTGGGTTGTGCAATGCTCCAGCAACGTTTGAAAGGCTGATGGAACTTGTACTTACCGGGCTAATTGGCGATGCCTGTCTAGTCTACTTGGATGACATCATCATCGTGGGCCGTACGTTTGAGGAACTCCTTCAAAACCTGGAACGCGTGCTCATGAAGATTCAGGGTGCCAACCTCAAGTTGAATCCGAAGAAATGTTCACTATTCAAACGGAAAGTCAACTTTTTGGGGTATGTAGTGTCGGTAGAAGGTATCCGCACGGATCTGGAGAAAATCGCAGCTGTTAAGGATTGGCCGGTTCCAAAAGACAAGACGCATGTTAGAGCATTTTTGGGTTTGTGCTCCTATTACCGGCGATTTGTGAAGGACTTTGCAGATATAGCCAAACCTTTGCATAAGCTAACCGAGGAGAAGCGACATTTCTGATGAGATGAAAGTTGCAATATCGCATTCCAGGAGCTCAAGGACCGTCTGTGCAAAACATCTATTTTGGGATGCAAGCAAAGAATTTATAATTGACACAGACGCAAGTGATATAGGTTTTGGCGGTGTGTTGTCTCAACGGAATGGTGACCAAGAGGTCATGATAGCGTACTTCAGCAAGTCGTTGTCAAAACCGGAAAGGAACTATTGTGTCACAAGACCCGAATTGCTAGCTGTGGTAAAGTCGTTGCAGCATTTTAACAAATATCTTCTGGGGCGAAAATTTCACTTACGAACTGACCATGCTGCACTTAAATGGCTATTGCAGTTTAAAAATCCAGAAGGACAAGTTGCAAGGTGGATTAAACTACTGCAGGAATACGACTTTGAGATCGAACATCGCAGCGGGAAATCTCATAACAAAGCAGATGCATTGTCAAGAAGACCTTGTCCTGAAGATTGCAAACATTGTACTAGACGAAAGAGTAGGGAAGTGGTATCCGTGAGGATGCTCAGGGCAGACCACCTCAGCAACGAGTGGAAGGACAGCTTACAACGTGCATAACAAGAAGATCCGGACATCAAGCTGATTCTGGAATGAATGAAGGCCAGTGCTCCCAAGCCCAAGTGGAGCGACGTCTCAGCGATGAGTTCGACCACCAAAAGCTATTGGTCTCAGTGGGACAGCTTGCTGCTTCAGGATGGAGTTCTGTGCCGTAAATGGGAAAATATTCAGGGAGACAGCTGTCATTTTGCAAATGGTTGTCTCTAAAGCTAAATTACCGGATGTTCTACAGCTGTACCATAATGATTGTTCAGGAGGCCAACTGGGAGTTAAACGAACTCTACTGAAGATCCGAGAACAGTTTTACTGGGTCCAATGTCGAAACGACGTCGAGGACTGGTGTCGCAAATGTACAAGTTGTGCGGCTGTAAAGGGACCTCAGACTCGTAGTAGAGGTGCGTTGAAGTTGTACAATGTTGGTGCACCATGGGAGAGAATAGCCATTGACGTGGCGCGGCCGTTTCCTGAGAGTGAAAGCGGTAACAAGTATTTCATGGTTGTGATGGATTACTTCACTAAGTGGCCAGAAGTCTTCGCCATTCCAAATCAAGAAGCTTCAACAGTTGCAGATAAACTATTTCATGAAGTCTTCTGTCATTTTGGAGTACCTTTAGAGATTCACAGCGATCAAGGAAGGAATTTTGAGTCTCAAATATTCCAGGAAACTTGCCGAGTTATGGGTACTCATAAAACAAGAACGACTTCCTATCACCCGCAAT